TTCAGTAGGAAAATTAAATAATAAATAATTAAATTTTTCGACTGAAAATATCGCAAAATGTGAGAATAAAATAATTAAAAAATTTATAATTTCCGACCGAATCGATCGTAAATCTGGAAATTTTTAGGTAATAATTGCGACTGAATCGGTCGAAAATCAGCCCCAAATTTGGGGAAAAATTTACCAAAATTTTGCTATTTTTTCTACTACACCACCTGCCAAATAAAACAACCAACCAATCAAACACCTCATTCATCGTCCACCAATCAAACGTCTAATATCACAACAAACCAAACAAAATACTTAATATCACAACCAAATAACATTCAATTATCAAAATACTAACTCACATTCATATTTTAAACAAACTAATCAAATCTTAATCATGTGTAAAACATAACATCAATATTCAAGTTTAAAACATAACATGATTATTCAAGTATAAAACATAAATATTTCAATACAAGCCTACATATTACAACCACGTCATAACATACAACTCAAATAACTATTCCTATTCAGACTCAATCTCCTCATCACTATCAGATTCCTTAAACATTCCATCAAATATTCTCAGCGGCATTTTCAAGCTTCTCATTGTCAGTTGAGGTTTAACCAATCCATGCTTCTTTAACTTCTCATACAACTTGCTACAAACTTGTCATGATTGGCAAAATTTACTCTTTATTCATCAAAGTTCATTGTACATAATTAACAGCTCTCTAAAACTACTGCTTCTCCAAATCATTACACCTCTTGCTTCATAAACGTTGTCAATATAAACAATAATGTTTAAATTTTTATTCAATTAAAATGATAATAAAAACTTAGTAAATAACTTTTATTCATCAAAACTAGTAACAAAATAAGTAAATATTTCAGAATCAATTCAAAATTTCGAGAATTAACCAAAAAAGTTAATTTACATGAAAATTGAGAAAATAGAAAAACTTACCTTGATGCCGCAGTGAACCCGCTAGAGTGGTGTCGTCGGACCGACTGGCGTGGTGTTGCCGATCTGGAAAAAAAATAAAAATCAAGTTAGGTATTTAAGTGGGAAAAAGGATAGAGAGAGAGAGAGAGAGAGAGAGAGAGAGAGAGGTGGACTGATCGGAGGGGGAGAGACACCAGAGCCGGTGAGGAAGAGAGAAGCGACGCCGATAAGGTAGAGAAGACAGCGGTGGTGAACAGGAAGGAAAAAGTGAAGAAAATAAAATGGGTTGTTGGGCGAGATTATAAAAAAGATTTTAGACCGAAACAGTCGGAGTATTATTTTATTTTAAAATTTTTTAAAAGTGTGACCGAATCGGTCGCAAATTGGGTCAAACTAGTTAGACCTCGTAAATGACACATTTTGCAACCAATTCGATGGCAAAAAAAAATAAATTAATTCTTTTTAATTTTACGACTGAAACAGTCGGAACTTTATTTTAATTTTTTTAAAATTTTGAAAGTGCGACCGAATCGGTTGCAAACTAGGTCAAACTAGTCAAACCTCGGTCGCAAATATTTTTTATTTATTTTTTATTTTGCGATCGATATAGTCGGAAATCACGAAAATATATTTTGCGGTATTTTGCGCCAAAGTTTTCAACAAATACGGTCAGAGTGTTTGCCGTAAAATTATTTTTAAAAAATAGAATTTTTTTTCACAAGTTGCGACCTAATCGGTCGGAATTTTCGACCGTCTTTTTTCGGTCCGAAAATTTCAGTCGAAAAATAGACGTTTTTAGTGAATATTCGTGAAACCATTATGACAATAAAGGACAAATCAAACGGTTATGCCACAAGTTGAAGCAATACACTAGAGAATGAAAAAAAGTTGAAAATACCCAGAACAATGTTGTTGCTATTGTTCGAGATGACTTTCTTTTTTGTTTATGATGAAAACATCATCAATTTGGTATCCCATGAGTCGAGTAAGATAGTAGATTCTGGAGCTACTTCACATGTCACACCAAGAAAAGACGTTTTCTCATCTTATACTTCTACTAACTCTGGAGTGCTAAGATAGACAATGCCAGTGAGGTTAAGGTGTTTGGTGTTGGCAAAGTTTATTTGAAAACTAAAATGGTTCAATATTAGTTCTACAGAATGTCAAGCATGCTCCAAATTTTCCTTTCAATCTGATCTCTATAGGAAGATTGGACGATGAAAGTTACCATAATACCCTCTTTAGTGGCCAATGAAGCTCACCAAGGGCTCATTAGTAGTGGATCGGAGTCAAGTCTTCTCATTTATATGTGACACAAAGCTCTATTCTTAATGGCTCCATAAACCTAGTGAAAAGTGACACTTTATCAGAATTGTGGCACAAAAGACTGAATCATATGAGCGAAAGGGGGATTACGTATCTGGCTAAGAAACATTTACTTTCTGGAGTGAAACAAGCAAAGATGAAAAGGTGTGTCCATTGTTTAGCTGGCAAACAAAAAAGGGTTTTCTTTCATAGCCATCCTCCTTCAAGAAAGCCCAAATTATTAGAGTTAGTACCCTCTGACTTGTGAGGTCCTTTTATATTAAAGTCAAAAGACGGTGTACTTTACTTTGTGACCTTCATTAATGATTATCATCGCAAGCTCTGGGTATATCCTTTAAAATTAAAAGATCAAGTACTTCACGCGTTTAAGGAATTTCAGGCCTTAGCCGAGAGACAAATAGGAAAGAAATTAAAATATATTCGCACTAACAATGGTGGTGAATATTGTGGTCACTTTTATAACTATTGCAAAAAATAATGGTACAAGAAAACTTATTCAGACCACTGTCTATTCTTTCAGAAGTTCTCTGATGATGATATTATTGTCTTATTGCTTTATGTGGATGATATGCTTATTGTTGGCAAGAATAAATCTAGAGTTGCAATCCTTAAGAAACAGTTAGGAAAATCGTTTGCGATGAAGGACTTGGGGCCAACAAAGAAATCTTGGGCATTCAAATCCACCGACACGTAAAAATGAGTTATTTTTATCCAAAAAGCAATATATTAAGAAGGTACTCAAGAGGTTCAATGTGACAGATGCAAAAGTAGTCAGAACTCCTCTTCCTAAACACTTTAAACTGAGTATTAGTCATAGCCCATCTACTGATGAAGAGAAAAAAGAGATGTCTCGTATTCCATACTCTTCTACTTTTAGTAGTTTGATGTATGATATGGTCTGCACTAGACCAAATATTGCAGATGTTGTTGGTACTGTTAGTAGATTCCTTTCTAATCATGGAAAGGAGTATTGAATGATATTGCAGATTTGAAGCTGTGCTTTGGCAATGGCAAGCCTGAACTTGTTTGTTATATAGACTCATAGACTCTAATTTAGGAGGCAATATTGATAATTCAAGATTCACTTCAGGTTATTTGATCACTTTTGCATGGGGCTATTTCCTGACAATCTAGACTACAGAAGTGCATAGCTCTATCCGTCACAGAAGCGGAATATATTGTTGTCATCGAAGGTGCCAAAGAATTATTATGGATGAAGAAGATTATTAATGATCTTGGCTTTGAGCAGTCAAGGTACATCTTATTTTCTGATAATCAGAGTGCTCTATGTCACACCAAGCCGGTGTATAAAAAGTATCATTGGATTAGAATGATTGAAGGGCACAAAGCCAGTGTATAAAACTTAGGCTTGCTAGTCAAAAATAGTATAGTATTAAATCGTTTTCACATGGATTGGATTAAATAATGTTCTAATAGATCTTAAGCTCAACACTATCCAGGATAATAAACCTTTGATTGATGTTATTATCGACTAGAAAAACTAATATTATCAATTGTAAGAAATTACTGACACTTTAATGAGTAGTAGCAATGATTGAATATCAGGGTGAGAAGTAAGGGTTGTGACAAGATATGTGATCAACTATTATTTCGGGTAACTCTAGGTTAAGTTCATTCCTAACTTCTATTGACTCCTTCGATTTCAACAGATGATTAGGATACTTTAGGGATTCAAATTCTTCTTCTGAATAAATGAGATTCCTTTAATCAACCTAATAACAGGTCCAATGAACATATGAACAAAACATAGTGAATGAATGATCTTTCGAAGAACACATCTCGATTATTCTTCTAAATTGGGTTAATTGATAACTCTCTAAGCTCTTTCGATTACCTAGAAGAGGCATAAAATCAACCCAAACAATATGGAACAATGCAAATAGCAGCAACACTTCTCTTTCGATTAAAGTAAAACCACAATAAGCCTTGAAATTCAATTATTAACTCATTCAATGAATTCGGGCAGTTAAAATAGAGTAAAACCCCAAACGATAGTCAAATCACAACATCAATAACCCTAAGAAAGATTACTCCATGATGGAAAAAGTATTCATCGCAAGAGTATTAGAAGAACATGAAGACATTACAATTCCCAAATTCAAACAAATATCTGTATTGACTGAATTGGATCAAGTATTTTGCGTTTTCGTTGCTTCCTTCCTTCTTCTCTCCCCAAAAGTTCCTCTAAAAATCCCAGCTGGTTCTCATCTTCTAGCGCCTCAACTTCTTTCTTAATCTCAGGATCTTCCTCCTCTGTTGTGCTTGATTGACTAATGCATCTCTCTAGTAAGTCACCTACCGGCTTATCCAGTTTGTGTTGTTCAGCTAACTCTCCGACCATATCTAGTTTGAGACAAGCATAGGGATATGCCTCATCACATGGGTATTTTATCATTCTCTTCATTTGAAATATCACCTTTTCGTTTCCCACTCGTAGCATGAGTTGCCCCTCATATAAATCAAGAATATCCCGACCAATGCAAAGGAATGGTCTCCCCAAGATTAAAGGTACCTCCTTATTTACTTTCACATCTACCACGATGAATTCTGCTGGGAAAACAAATTAGTCTACCCTTATTAGAATGTCCTCAAGTATGCCCTCCGGTATGATCAGGGTCTGATCATCTAATTGCAAGGATACTGGCATATATTTGATCACTCCTAGGTCTCCTTCCAATTTCTTGAACAACGATAATAGCACCAAGTTAATGGATGCACCTTAATCGCACAAGGCTTTGTCAAAATGTTCGCTACCCAACGAGCATGGTATAGTGAAACTGCCAGGATTTGCACACTTCTTGGGAATTTTGTTCTGTAGAATGGTACTGCAGCGGGCATTGAGTTTGACCACTTTCGTTTCCTCGAGCTTCCTTTTTCTTAAGAGGATTTCCTTTAGGAATTTTGCATAGTTTGGCATCTGTGTGAGCACCTCCGTGAATGGGATGTTCACATACAACTGTTTCAGCATCTCCAAGAATTTTCCAAAGCAATTGTCTAATTTCTCCCACTTTATCTTTTGAGGAAAAGGTAACAATGGCATGTGCTTGATTTCCTCAACCGCGTTGTTCATCTTCTGCTTATCAACATCCTTGCTGCTAACATTCTTCTTGGGCAAAGATTCACCGATTTTCTGTTCTTCAGCTATCTTGGTTGCGTTGATATCCTTCTCATCCCTTGGTTTTGCCTTTGGCTCTGCTAAAGTTTTTCCACTCCTGAGATACACAACTTTGATTGTCTCTTTTTGATTCTTTTCAGTGTCTGCCGGCATAGTCCCCGACGCCCGTTTTGACAACAATGTTGCAAGCTGCCCTATTTGTCTTTCTTGATTCCGGATGGTTGTGCCTTGTTCCCTGATAGTGGTCCCTTGAGTCTCAAGTTTCTCATCAGATTATTTATATATGCCTTTATTAGATCTTCTAAACTTGAGTTGTTGGGCTGTGAAGGTTGGTATGGTTGCCTCTGTTGAGTTTGGAAACCATGAGGTCCTTGCACTGGTGCTCTGGGATTTTGCTATTGCCATGAGTTCAAACTACCAGTTGAAGAACTCCATGAGAACCCTGGATGTCTCTGTCCCATAGAATTGAAATTTCCATCTCCTTGGTAGTTGCCTCTGTTGAAGTTCGCCACAGCGTTGACATCCTTAGTTGTAGCTTGGAACTCATGTGTCGGGTGTCCCAATCCATATATGTCACATCTCACTTGTTGTTGATTTTGCACCTGAGCTAGCGTCACTTGCTTGATGTCCTTAGCCATAGCTGCAATTTGGGCCTGCATTGCTATTGACAATTCTACTTGGTGCACCCCTGTTGATCTTTTTCGGTCTCCTTGATCAGTGGACCATTGTTCTGCTTCTTCAGATAGTTCATTCAGAAAAGTGACAATCTCTTCAGGAGTCTTCTTTATCAGAGGACCTGTAACCGCACTATTCGGCAATCTTCTTGATAACAGGTTTAAACCGTCCCAGAAGTCCTGGAGTTGCATCCATTGCTCTATGCCGTTATGAGGGCACCTCCGCAATAGCTCCTTAAATGTTTCCCATGACGCGAGCACTGTCTCCCCTTCACCTTGGCTGAAATTGTGAATCTCTTTCCTCATTCGTCCAGTCTTAGCAACAGAGAAATATTTTTCTAAGAACTTGGTAGTCATCTCCTCCCACGTACGGATTGACCCTGTGGGCAGACTTCTCAACCACGGCTTTGCATCATCCTTAAGATAGAATGGGAACACTCTGAGGTAGATGGCATCATGTGACACTCCATTGTAACGAAATATGTTCATAGTTTCGTCGAAGTCCATCAGATGGTTGTTGGGATTTTCATTGGGTTTTTATCTGAATATGCAATTATTCTAAATGCTCTGGATGACTCCCTGTTTGAGTTCAAAATTATTAGCATAAATGTGTGGGGGTCTCATACTAGACTATTAGTTTTACACCGGTCTGGCATAATCTCCTAGCGACCTCCCAGATCTAGGAGCTACATTTCCAAATTCATCTTCGATCATGTTTCGAATGGGATTGAACCTTCGCTCCTTGTCGACTGTTTCATCCGTAATTCTACGGGATGCTTCAGCTGCTAGTCGTGCTTCCTGTTGCTGAGCCGCCTATCTCGCAGCTAGGTCCACTACCTCTTCGTTGTTCACCATTGTATTTTGAGGTGAAGGATGACCCAACAACAATCCACTCGATCCCTTCTCTCTTCTCAACTACCTCAGGTGCTTGTCCAACTCTGGGTCGTATGGCACCAAATCCTTTGAAGAGGATCGAGTCATACACCATTGAACTTAACCTATTGCCTGTACACAGATGAGAAGAGCGTAAAAAAGAAAATAATATAAAGTTGTTCCTGAATTAGCACTGAAAATTAACTTAAACACTATTAATCGCCAATCCCCGGCAACGACACCAAAATTTGACGGGCGCAAAGCTGGTGTATAAAACTTAGGCTCACTAGTCAAAGATAGTATAGTATTAAATCATCTCCATAGGGATTGGGTTAAATAATGTTCTAATAGATCTTTAGCTCAACACTATCCAGGATAATAAACCTTTGATTGATGTTATTATCGACTAAAAATAAAACTAAGATTATCAATTGTAAGAAACTAATGACACTTTAATGACTAGTAGCAATGATTGAATATCAGGGTGAGAAGTAAGGGTTGTGACAAGATATGTGATCAACTATTATTCCGGGTAACTCTGGGTTAAGTTCATTCTTAACTTCTATTGACTCCTTCGATTTCAACAGATGATTAGGCTACTTTAGGGATTCAAATTCTTCTTTCGAATGAATGAGATTCCTTTAATCAACCTAATAACAGGTCCTATGAACATATGCACAAACAAAAGTGAATGAATGATCTTTCGAAGAACACCTCTCGATTATTCTTACTTGGTTAATTGATAACTCTTTAAGCTCTTTTGATTACCTAAAAGAGGCGTAAAATCAACCCAAACAATATGGCACAATGCAAATAGCATCAACACTTCTCTTTCGATTAAAGTAAAACCACAATAAGCCTTGCAATTCAATTAATAACTCATTCAATAAATTCGGGTAGTTAACATAGAGTAAAACCCAAAACGATAGTCAAATTACAACATCTATCAATAACCCTAAGAAAGATTACTCCATAATAGAAAAATTATTCATCGCAAGAGTTTTAGAAGAACAAGAAGACATTATAATTCCAAATTCAAACAAACTTTTGTATTGACTGAATTGGATCAAGTATTTTGCGTTTCCGTTGCTTCCTTCCTTCTTCTCTCCCCAAAAGTTCCTCTAAAACTCCCAGTTGGTTTTCATCTTCCAGTGCCTCAACTTCCTTCTTGATCTCAGGATCTTTATCCTCTGTTGTGCTTGATTGACTAATGCATCTCTCTAGTGAGTCACCTACCAGCTTATCTAGTTTGTGCTGTTCAGCTAACTCTCCCACCACATCTAGTTTGAGACAAACATAGGGACATGCCTCATCACATGGGTATTTCATCATTCTCTTCATTTGAAACACCACTTTTTCATTTTCCACTCTTAGCATGAGTTACCCCTCATATATATCAAGAATAGCCCGGCCAGTGCAAAGGAATGGTCTCCCCAGGATTAAAGGTACCTCCTTATTTACTTCTATATCTACCACGATAAAGTATACTGGGAAAACAAATTTGTCTACCCTTATTAGAATGTCCTCAATTATGCCCTCCGATATGATCGTGGTCTGATCAGCTAGTTACAAGGATACTGACACATATTTGATCACTCCTAGCTCTTCTTCCAATTTCTTGAACACCGATAATGGCATCAAGTTAATGGATGCACCTGAATCGCACAAGGCTTTGTCAAAATATTTGCTGCCCAATGAGCAGGGTATAGTGAAACTTCCAGGATCCCCACACTTCTTAGGAATTTTGTTCTGTAGAATGACACTGCAGTGGGCATTGAGTTTGACCACTTTCATTTCCTCGAGCTTCCTTTTTCTTGGGAGGATTTCCTTCAGGAATTTTGCATAGGCTGGCATCTGTGTGAGCACCTCCGTGAACGGGATGTTCACATACAACTGTTTCAGCATCTCCAAGAATTTTCCAAAGCATTTGTCTAATTTGTCCAACTTCATCTCTTGAGGAAAAGGTAACAATGGCATGTGCTTTCTTTCCTTAACCGCACTGTTCATATGGTCATGCACTTTGGACAGTGTTCTGCTCCACATGCGTGCACCTGACTTCCTGCTCAATTCTTCGTTTCTCTCGTTAAGAGAACTAGTGTCCGTTGATCCCCAGACAGGATCCCAACTTAATCCATGGGCTTTTACTCAAACTTCAAAGCTCCAGAATAGCTCGAATTAGCTCCACAACCTTATCGTAACTCGGAATCGCTCCTACAAAGCATAAAACACACACTCAGTGCGAAATAATATAATTTAAAGCTCAAATACTAGTAAAGTGCAATGAATTAGAATGTAATTAATGGCCAAAATATGCAATTATCGCCTACCATCAATGACCGTGGAAGATAAATTATTTGAGGTTGAAAAGATACACATTGATGATAATTCTTCGGATATGCTAACGAAACTGGTGGTTGCAGATAAGCACGAGTTTTGCAAAACAATTGCAGGCATGAAGCATGTCAATAGTTCATCTACTTAAAGACATATTTGGCCCATTGACTGGAGGGATAGTTTATTGGGACCATGCCTATGTTGTACGGCCAAAGGCCCAATGGCCTAATTCTATTCACTTTTCGTTTCCATTCCTATTTGGAATTGGATTTGATTTTTATTCCTATTTGGAGTTGATTTTGGCTTTAAGAGAAAGCACCACTTATTATACATAAATAGAGTAACTTTGGAGAATTATTCTTAGCTCATTAATATTAGTATTTATTAGACTTTAGGACATAAGAGTGATATTTTAGAGAGCTTTCATCAAGAGAAAAGATAGAAGATAAGTGTTCGTTTTGCGGCAGATTTTGCTCCGACCAGCCAACTTCAAATCATGTTTACCGATTTGTTCACCTTTGGATTGGGCTAAAATTTTGATTGAGTGTTCCTAACATCTTGGTATTTAGTTTGAATAATGAAGATCGGATTTGGTGGATTGTAGCATCCGATTTCGAACCCAACGTTGGCTCCATTTCTGTGATTTCTCCTCTTTCGTCAATTGATTTGTTGTTGCTCTTGTTGCTCCGTATTTTGCATTTTTTGTGTAGCCAATCTGGAAAACTTTTGTAACATTCTTATTGCTATAATGGAGTTTTTTTTGGACTTTTGTGATCCCTTGGATTTTACCTTCGATTTAAAGCGTTTTTCACGTTAAAATTTGGTGTTCTTTATATTCTCTATTTTCGCGTTTGCCTCTTCCTCGACATTACAAGTAGAGGGGGGGCCCCGATTTGAGTGCGACGAGAGCACAACTATCTTTAGATATGCAGCGATAAAGTTCGACTATTAACTCGTTAAAAACAAAATTATGATACTTTATTAGCAAAATATGAACTCTCCCGTTGTCAAATTGAAGTTTACAAATAACGCGACTTTGTCAAAATGATTATTGAAGGGATGGAGAACGGTTCATATTTTTGTATTTGTGGAGCGATATAAGCTACGGTCTGGGCTTTGATTTTAAAGAGAGATTTAAAAAAATTAATTAAGTTGACTATTATTTACAAGTACTAAATTATAATTGAATTCAAAATAAAATAAAATGATAAGATTCAAGCACAAGGATTTGAATACAAGCATAGGAAGGGAGTTGAGCAGCCTACTCAACCA